TGGCTAAATTATATAGTTTTGGATTGATTGTATAAATGGAATGTGGAGTACTAATGAAATCTCTCATTAATAATTTCATGATATTTCTAATATACTAGGTCTTTATTTAATGCATATAGTGACCATATATGTAGTTAATATCATATGTAATATGGAGCCTAAAAATAGGAAAGTAGGTACAATTAGGTATGTTGGATTGGTATGATGCAAGCATAAACATATTACTTGTCATATATCAAATTTATAGAGATAAATCATCATGAGGGGTTTTAACAATACATGCTTTACTTACTCTTCTAAGATTCCCATATAGTGAAAGATAATGGAAGTTTAGAGTGGTATTGAGGTTGGAAGGCTTAATGTATCCTTTGTCTCTTCACACTTAACTGAGCAGTCGATGATGCATATGTTTTGAGTAGCATCAATATAAAAGAGAATCATTAGGAAACAAATTGTATTTATATTTTATCCATCCAAAATACTTTATCCAAATAGTATTTCATTTAATTATTTTTTAATATAAATTAAGTGATTGAATCTACATAAAAACTTATTTTAATTGAGTAGGAAAATTATTATAATTGAATTAGATAGTACTAGTATTTGCATATAAACATTCTTTCTCTTAGGCTTTATACTCTACTCTATCACTATATTATTTGATTCAGCACACATATATACTTGTGTATATTTAGTAGGATTTTTATAATTTTTATATCAAAGAAACTAAGGATTGTTTAGGGATTGATAGAGCTCTAAATCATTTTCATAATTCTTTAAGTTACCCCACCACCCCCATTACTAGTCAAAATAAATAAGGTATCAGATTCATAAATACATACTACTCTCTTAAGATTTACCCTAGTAAAAGACCACTAAAAATTATTTGTATCCATTCCCTCAATTAATTCATAAGCTTTATCAAATGGCTTAGATATTAAAGATCCTCCAACTACTCCATCCACATTAAAGCATTAGTTAGGTCTTTATTTTTAAGCATTTTCCTAAATTACTCCATGCTTTCACAAATTAGCTCTCCTTCAAACTGAGCAAAAGATGTGATATCATTCTTAAGTTTAGTAGTTTTGAAGGTGAGAATTACTTATCTAGAAAATTATATGCCAATTCATTTTAAGTGGTTATAAAGCCTGGAAGAAAGAAATTCAACCACATCTTAGCTTTGACCCTTAAAGAAAATTAGAACAAACAAATACTAATGTCATCATTGCTAACACTATTATACTTGAATGTTGTATATATTTCTAAGAATCTAGCTAAATGTAGATTGGGATCCTCAACAAGAGCTAACCATATTGGAAATTTCAAACAATCTTAATTATGAAGGGTTTCAATTCAAATTTATTGACTTGGAAAGTAGGTCTATTGACAATAATGGATTCCATCTACTATATGATTAGTATACTCCCTATGAGGTTTAGGGTGGACTTGATGTTCTAGTTTAGACATATCTAAAGAAAAAAAAAAATAGTTTTATAATTTTTATTAGGGACCTTTCAATTTTAAAATTAAATAGTAAAGGCTCCTTACCATAACTACTACGCATGCAAAAATAATGCACTAAAAAGTAAAGAACAAAAACTAACAAATATAAAATTTTCTTTTCTAAAAATTTTAATAAGAGCTATAAAATAAGATACATAATATAAGTAGGTCTAAATATGCAATTTGTTAAATAATCTAGTTTAAAGTTATAATACGCACATTACTTCCCTAATAAGGACGCAAAAAACTTAATGCAGAGTATGAGCATGGGATAGCTCGATGCATGTATGAAATAAAATATGTTTTGGATGACTTGATGCATAAGTTTTATTTTATATAGATTGCCCACTAGTTACATAAGTATAAAATATTAATGTGGATCAGAGTATATGCATATCTAGATCTCTATCGAGCTTATATGAGTAAAATGGAAGGTTTTTGGCCTTCATATAGTTCTATTATCTCCATAGAACCTAGAAGGTTAAACATCCTATGTTTAGGCATACTAACATTCAATTTCAATACTATTATTTATTTTAGTATTCTTTCATTAAGGATATACATCATGTTAGATATTAACTACACACATGATCATTGTATGCTTTAATTTAAGAATGGGAGGTATTAAAAACATCTACATTATAATTCAAGGTATAAGAGTCTATATTAGTACTTAAAGGATGTATGCATCCTAATTAGAAAAAAAGAGAGTCTATATTAGTACTTACTATAAATTTACATCATGAGCCCAAAACTAAAAAAAAATAGCCATATAAGGAAAGCACAAAAAAGTAAATTTATATTCATTTCATTCATATAAGAAAAAGATATAAGAGAATTAATAAAGAAAAATGTCATGAGGAAGGATCAAATGATGTTTTCCAAACTTCTTCTTCTAATAGAAGAATTGCTTACACAAGATAGGTTAAGATCTCCAAACAAACTTATCTTGCACTTCGTTAGCCTCCCTTAGACTTTACTTTAAGTGGGCACTCAGAACTCCATTAAAAATTATAGAAATTTACTAAGAGTGACATAATTTCTTAACAACAAAACCGAAAAACTATTTATAGTAAGTACAAAAACATACTCAGGTGTCACAATACTTAATATGTTAACATATTGACATTACTAAATGAACTAGTGCCTCAGCTCTTAAATGGTTGCTCCGATGTGGTGCTGTGTTGACCCAATGCATCTCTTGATTAAAATGGATTCTCAAATTCATAACTGCTCCGCTACGATGCTTGAAAATGTGAACATTATGACACCTAAAGGTGCTCCTTGGTGCTGTGATGATGAACAGTCTAGCGATTCAACGCTGAAAAGTCAGAGAGAAGAGCATTGTAATACCATTTCTTGGCACTGCAGTGTCATGGATGCTCACCATTAATCTACTAGGGCCCTAATTTTCTACTTTAATTCTATAGCAGCTAGCACCGCAATGTCCAAATTTGGCACTAGGTGTTGCAAAAGTTGACGCTGTAGTGCAAAATTTGATAGCATTACAGTGTTGGTTTAATATTTATAAATTTTTTCTTGTCCTGATATTTTCTCCAAAAAACACAACTAAAATGATTTTTTTTTTTTGGAATTTAAGAACAATAAGCAGTGCAAAAATTACACTTAACATGGATGTACTTGAAAATGACTTTTCTTTTAATTTTTATACTTATTCAATTAGAGATTTCCATTTGGTACTAATAACTCCTTATAGTTTCTATGATATTTTTGAAGTTTTCTTTGATGATGTATTCTCCTATTTTCTATTCTGTAGAAACTTTTGTTTTATTTCTTCCTTTGTTAATGGCATTGAAGAGGATGCAACCACTATCATAGATTCTTTTTTTGGGTGAATCAAAATGTTATTTTATAGTGTCTCTTTAGCTAGTCTTTATGCATGTAACAATATTTAATTGTGTGTCTAATTATATGATGATATGGGAAATAATTGGGGTTTTCTCTATGATTTAACTATTTAGGTGTTTTGGATTGTAACAATTCACGCCCGACTTTTAGTAATTGTTAGAATACCTTAGCCACATTTTCACTCTGGATCACCAGTTCCTTAATTTGTTTTCAATGCTCCACTTCTCCATGGGAGATTCAAGGCTTACTATTTTCTCTCAGCAACAATTATGATCAAGGATTGAAATTGACTGGCAATTTCATCTTATCACCTTTATAAGTAAGTTTTTTCACTTATTAATAGGACAAGTCACTAGTTTTCCCTTAATAGTCTTAAAAGAGGAAGTGGAGTGTATTTATCTTTTTCACATATCGGTAGCTTTACTTCATGTAAATTTTTCTTGAAGAACTTTATACTTAAACAAGTTTAATTTCTCAAAGTTTTCCACCCTGTCAATTTTCTTTAACAACCTTAAAAGAGGAAAGGAAGTGTATTTATCTTTTTCACATTTTTGGAGCTTTACTTCTTTTAAAATTTTCTTGAAGAACTTTAGACTTAAACAAGTATAATTTCACAAAGTTTGCCTATTTAGTCTAAAAAAACATTTTGCTCTCTCCCCCTCTGTGTGTGCAAGGTTATTCAACAATGATATCCACCCAATTACATAATACGACTCAAGAAAAAAAAAAATAATAAAATGAAAACCGACTGTAACCCTAATCTACCCAGTCTTGAGCTGATCAAAATTACAAGTGAACGATTAACTGATTTCCTGGAACATTAGTACACATAAAAACAAAATAAAATATCGTAGAAATAGGAGAAAACAGTAACAAACAACAATATTTTTTATCATCAAAATCACAGTGCTTGGATCAGATTTTCAATAAGAGCTAAATATGGAAGTAATATTTTGGATAACTATGGTGATAATCAGTTCAATGAACTTAATCATAAATTTCGACATCCCCCACCTCAAAAAATGGATTAAAGTGAATGTAAATGTTTCTTTACTTAGTTCCAAGTGTGCTGGAATTGGAGGAGTAATTAGAGAAGATAATAGAATATTTATATCTGCATTTGGAAATGAATTACATCATTGGGATGTGGCTCAAGTTGAAATCCTTGGAATCATTTCCTTAAAAGAAATTATAGAAGATTGGATGATAGAGTCTGAAGGCATTTGGATTGAAGGAGATAACATCAATGTTTTCAAACTTATTCAGAAATCTATGACTTCTAAATTTCAACATGCTATAAATCCTACCTCTTTAGATTTATCATTTTTATATGACTTGAAGTGTGTCATTTTTCATTGTATTTCTAGGGATGGAACTAAGGTTGCAAACTATTGTGTAACCTATGCTATAAGTGGCAATTTCTTTTGGGATTTTTTTTATAATAAATTTCCTTCTTTTTTATTTCTTTGTTGAAGGAAGAATGTGATAGATTAGCTATCTTTTATATTGTAATTTTTTATTTTATGAATAATATGTTATTTGTATTGTTTGATTGTTTCAAATAATAATAATAATAATAATAATAATAATAGCAATATAAATTCCCTACCAAATCAGGGGCACGCAACTTGTTCACCGGTCCGCTACTTCTGCATCAGATCCAGTTACAAGAATTCCCAACACATGCTTTCCATGCCGGCAGATGGCAGGCTGGAATCAGGCTGCAGCGCCCGCAGCACTGATGAAGATCGGCTGCCTTGCGGCTCCTACCTCTTCCTGAACCTCCCGGAAGACGTCCTCGCCCTGATCTCACTCTATCTCTCTCCTCGCGACCTCTGCAACCTCTCCCTTTCCTCCCGCCCCCTCTGCTCCGCTGTATCCACGTCAGAAAAGATCTGGCTTTCTCAGTGCCGACGCGCGGGCCTCCCACCTCCGCTACTTTCCCGATGGCGAGCTGGCGTCCGATCCCACCGCGCCCTTTGCCGCTTCCTATACGCTGTATCCCCTCTTCTTGGCCTCTGGGTGCACCAAAACCCCGAGCTTGGGAACGTAGTATTCGTACTCTGGGGTTTCCTCTCCGTTGTTGGGTGCCGCGTCATTCCTCAGGAGCTGGGTCCACTCGGTCTCTCGGCCGGCCCCCTCCTCTGGACCCCCGTGTTTGAGATCCTCGCCGACGCCGACGGCTCTGCAGAAACTTTCTTCCTACATGGCCGGGAGGCTGACGACTCTCTCTACCCCGGTCTCGTCCGCTCCATCCAACCTGACTGCAATGTTCTCCTCCTCGAGGTTGATACCCGCCACATCTTTCCCCGCAGTTTTCACGCAAGCGAAAACCAGAGCGCAAAGCGTCTTTACCTCTCGGGCACCACCGTCTCGTCGGCCCTGCCCCCGGCGCCATTCAACAGGTTGGCCTTCGGCGATCGCCGGAGGCTACTTGATCTCGTTGCTGGCAGAGTTCGCCTGAAGGTTCCAAGAGACCTTCTGACAGCTCCACTCTTCCCACCTTGTACCTCTTCCACCTCCTTTGATAACGAGGAGGCTCTCCTAGAGGAAAGGAGGTCTGTGCTAATCAAGATGCACAAACTCAGTGGCGGCCGTGTTGACTGGCGAGGAGATGAATTGTATTCATGTGCAAGCGATTTTTATGACAAAATTTTTGATGGCGATGGGGTTTCTCCATTGCCGAGTGTCATCTCTTCTACGAGAAGGTGGAACTTCTTCTCCGTAGCTGGTTATTTTAGAGATGGGCTTAGACAGATCATTGGTAAGCCCAAATCCTCCCATGTGTCCTCCTTGGTTTTGGAAAATGGGGCCTCCGGAATCTCTAGCGAGACGAAGCATGTTCAGCTCCATGAGTTTCTGATGGGTGGAGATACCATAGGACTCAGCTTATGTGCCACCAAAATGAGATTAACCACTTATAGAGCATGGCCAAATATGCACGATAACAGGTTTGCCCTATATAAGCTTCCACTGCAGCTGCCTGCAGATGGTCAAGAATATGCTGGCCTTTGGGGCGGCACGTTTGGATGGCCTCCTTGGCAATCATCTGAAGATAAGCCAGGGAAGGCCTTGTTCTTTTTGTTACTCTCTTATGAGGAGGTTGATGGGCATCTCATTCTGATTGCCACCAAGATATTGGAAGGAACCCATTATGTTCTACATCCTAATGGCTCAGCTATGTTTATTGTGAAAGTCGAAGAGCCGTCACCAGATCCTTTCCCATGGGACACTTATGTAGATTCAGTTCCTGTCGAGGTGAAGCGAACATATTCAGGAGAGGGTATTGCTAACGGTTATGGTTTCCGGTTTCCTGGGTCCAAGCCAGGATCCTTGTTTGAGATACAAAACGGGCATCTTGCATTTGTTTGGAAGGAGTCCAAGTCTGTTTTGACAATTCAGAGGCTGGAGCTTGAAGATCTATTGAAGAAAGGGGAGCGAGTGCCTTCCTTGCCGCGAATTGCAAACTTTGCTTACCTAACAAAGTCCTACTCGAACGTATTTGCAGGCTTTCCTAACAGCTCAAGCTGTTCATCTCCGCCAAGGTTCAGTTAAATTACGCAGCTGTGATGGTATTTCTTAAATGGTTTAAATATATTAATGTCACATCTTATTAAGATTGACATATGGAGTATGAACGCAGATAATGCTTTCAATTTTATCTATCTTTTCCACCAATCAAAAGCATTGATTATCTAATCATGGGCACTAATTTTATTAAATTCTAGGATGATTAAAAGACTTCATGCTATGAAGATCATGAAACTTTTTTTTTTGTTGGTAAAAGTAATTGATCGACAAGCTATCAATGACCACTGTATTATTCTTGATTTCTTTATTCTTGTTCAACTTGGTTATAAATAACATTTTCTTGTGAACTTTAACAAGCTTAGGTTTAGCTCTAAAATAATTGAACCAAACCAAAAAAAGCCTAACCTCAGCTTAATTATGAGCACCGTTGAACACAATGTACTGTTATTGCATTATGTTATACTCATTTAGTTTGATAAATAATAATGAAAGTGCTGCTTTGTAATCTGTAATTAAGAGCAGGCATCATGGATGTTTCTTTTGAGGCTTTCTTTGCAATTTGGCATGGGCATCAGATCATTAAAATCTATAACAAAGTATTCTCGACTATTGTTATTTTTCTTACGATTCAATACCATCTTTTTTTTTTTATATTAATTAATTTTTAACTAATTATCTTGAGAAACTCAATTACTAGTTTTTCTTAAATTACCTTTTTTTACTTGTTCTGTTTGGTGCATTTGGATGGTTTTCTATCTGCTTGCCCTCATGTATCCCTGGTTCTATCAACATTATTAGCTATCAGTTCAAAATTTTATGAACGTTATATTGTTTTTATTTGTATATTTGTACTTGTCCATATATATACTTTAGAAGTAGGATAGAGGTTTCAGCTAAAAAAACCAAGCTAGTGCAGTCCCATCGCTCACCAAAGAGGCATTTGCTGGCACAGAACATGGTTCATCTCAGGTGACCAAATTGAGGAGTTTCCCTAGGCATGCACACCAAGGGACTCATACAAATCCTTCCAACTATCATGAATCACGTACCTCGGTAGAAATTCTTCTTATGAGGTCACTTGCTATCATCCAGGCCACCAGGATACTAATGACATTCCCCAATACAACTATATGAAGTCCACACCTTAGGGGTTGTGATTACTACAAAATCAATCCATCCTTATCTTGTGATCATAGTTGCCCAAAGAGACTTACCCCATACACTTCCCCTAGAGACTCCCAATCACATCCAAATAATTAGACCACATAGAATCGTCCTATATGTAACAGCTCGAGGACTTGTCCAACATACTTGCCTGTGAAAATTCTCCCTATAACAAACAACCATGTTAGAGGTAGAGAGTCACGTGGACATCCATCAATAAAGCCATATTCAGCTATATTTTGTAATGTGTCATATCGAGCATTGTATGTTTTTGCTTTTTTAATATTGTGTTCCATGTAGCCCTTTAAGCCTATAAATAAGGGGGAAGTATCAAAGTTTAGATCTTTTTGACATGTCATGATCTTTAGGCTTATTTGGACTTTTATATTTTTCTCTCATTGTCCATATTCACTCGAACTTGTCTCAGTTCTCAATTTTTTTAGTTAGCTTTCTAGTGAAGTTGGGTTAGACCCCGAAGTTGTTGGTGAACATGGATATTCCAATAACACTATTCATCCTGACTTGATAGTGATGGAAAAAAAAAATCTCACCAAGATTATTCAAGATGTATTGGGAGTAGAAGCGACAAATACTCTTAGAAGGATCATGCCACTTTCATATTTGTTGTAAAATTCTAGAAACTAATTCATTCACTTTGACACCCACTTGCGATCCCACCAATGATGAATAGTGCAACCCCCCTCAACATGTACAAAACATAGAGCTTGAGGTGACTAATGCATTCTCCAAGAAGATAATAGTGTCAGTGTCATCTCTCAAGTTCAAATTGCCCAACATAGAGTCCTACAGATAAGGGTTGATAAATCTGACTATGTCATCTATTTTCGGTCGCCGATGTCACTGCTCGACATCAATGCTCAACTCGGCCAACACTTTACAAACCTTGTAAAGAGCCGCCATATCACTTGCTCGCATTCACAGTGTTTTAGGAGTAGAAGGGGAACAAATGTCAAATTTTCAATTATAGCTTGTGCCACTCATAAGAAGACAAAAGGGTATTTATACAGAAAAGAGTGACATGAATTTCGATGCTTCTATCACATCTACAATTTATACTCATATTGCACCAATATCTTCATGATTACAAGAAGATTTCATTAATCTCTCACTTTCCCCAAAGTGCAATTGCCATTACAAGATTTTTCTGGAGTCACCCTAATCTGAAAATTAGAGTGCTCATCCTAATTCAACATTGTGAGGATTCATTAGCAAATTGTCTTATTATTGCTAGGGTTCTCCATCGACTTGCCTCAACCTTGATTACATCATACTACTGGTTGAAGAGTACTACCTAACTCACCTCAGCAAGAAGTGAAAAAGTCTAACAAAACATCTTGCCATTACCTAATATTACTTGCAGAAATAACAAAGCATACTATACATTCATAGCAAGGCAATCACTTCAAAGACATGGTGAGGTGATATAAAATAAAAATAATAATTCTTGCTCACAATTAAAAAAACTAAATTTTTTTTATTTAGAACATTTTTTTACATTTACTTGCGTACATGTATTAAAAAGAAAAAAGATAGCATACCTACTTATCCCCTCTAAAAAATATGCATAGTGTACTTCTTTATTTGCTTGCACCTTCACTAGAATAGAAGGCACAGGTCCTATTAACTCAATCAACATTGGGCCCACAAGCGTGCTCACCTCTATAGCCACCATCTTACTGATCGATGAGTTGGACCTCTTCTCTTTCTCCTCATCTAGATTGCTCTTCTAGAGGGTTCTAGAGGTAAGCTTTATTCTTTCTCTTAATGATTGATAATCCTAGTTTGGTAGGGTCCATATCTATGTTTCATAAGTGAGTAAATTATTAGTGAAGAATCAAGTGTGAGTTTGGACAAATTTATTAACATTCAAATGTAAATGTCACACAAGATTTGCATTACATTTATAGTTTGAATTTTTTTAGTCAAATATGCATAGATTGATATTATACAACTTCTAAGATTAGACTAATATTTCACTATCGATTTGAGAAGAGAAACTTTTCATTCATGATTGAACACTGTATAGGACATATTCAATTAGTTCCAAAGGAAAAAAAAAAAATTCACCTATTATTTCAATTATGAAATTAATCAAATATTTAAAGCTTATGTTTGTGTTCCACAAATATTTTCATACCTTAGAAAGAAATTAAGATAGGATTTATTTTATTTTGAGTTGTAGACTCCCTATAGGGGCAAACTCATATAGTTAATTACATCTCCTAATAGAATATTCTCGATTAGTGAAGACTAGAGATTTTCAAAGACAAATAGATCTAAAGAAATTTTTTGGCTAATAAGATTTAATGTATAAGCTTTAGATCATAAAATCTCTTGTTATCCTTTGAATTTAGATTTTATATTTTGAATTTTAAAATATTTGAATCTGAATGTGCAAAGATTGAAGAGGTGTTTACAATTTGGATTTATATTTGCTTGGAGTGAGTTGCTAGCTAACAATCTTAATGCACAATCAATCGCCGTAGATGTAATGCATATGATCTGCTAAGCGTTGTCCTAAGAGATCAATGGATGAATAATACTATAAAATTTATGACTTAAGATAAGTAATTTTAACTTTAAGTTCAAATGACACTAATGAGAATACTCACTAAGAAGTCTAAAATTTATCTTATTTAATTTATCTAACAAAATTTTCTAACAACCAAAATTGTTTAAAATTTCGACAGCATAACAACCCTATACCGAAAGGAAAAGCATAACATCCTCCGAGCATAATGAGGACCCAGCTACCTTGCCAATGTTGAGTGTAAATGTTTGTCTTAACGTGCGTTGCTGAAATAAAATACATGCATGTGTGCATGTATAGGTAAATGGGTTGTTTTATACTTAGAACTAGTATACATGTTCCAATATAGTCCATAACATATACACCTAAAGAAACTTAGAAAGTTTATACCCACTAATACAAACTACCACCTATATGAATGCAATGCATGATGCAATGTAATAAATGAAAGACTGAATATAAAACGTAATTTATTTATTTATTGATTTGATTATTTACAATAGACTCAAAACTATGCAGAAAAATATATATATATATATATATATTAATTTTATAATGACTTGTATATATATAAATCATTTCTAGGTATATTCTACTTTGACTTTTATAGAAATTTAAAGACAATATAAAAGCATGTAAGGTGTAAAGCAGTTGTGTAATAATCTAATGTTTCTAATGCAATTCTTAAAAAGCCCAATTGTACCAACATGAACTTAAAATATATGACATTCAAATTGCTAAAAATAAATAAACATACACAAGGTACTCTCCAAGCAAAGCACATGGTAAGCAAATTACACCACCGGCCTAGCCTAGTTTAGAGTGTGTTGTCCTACCAAACCATTTAAGTGTGTGGAGAAATGTTGTATGGCTTAGATAGTTCTTCGGCTTTATTGGTTAAGAGTTGTCTATAAATGAATTTATTTATTCAAAGTCTTTAAAGGATGATTTGAGTTTAAGTATTAATGATTTAAAGGTTTTAATTTTTTTTTAAGATGTTTGTATTGTTAAAGTTATTTATATTTATGTTTGAAGGAACAAAACGTTCACCAACTCTTAAGTGCTAGAAGTTGATCAGTATGACCTAGACTCAAAAATGTAATGCCACCAATTCTCCAAGATTGTGATAGATTGATAGCATGGAGTCTTCCATTATAATTCAATGTTTTGATCATTAAAGCTTTCTTAACACAATACACATTTGCCCTCTTGAAAGAAATCAAACATATGGATATTAAAAGCTAAAATGTTTACATATTTTATTAATATTTTTATTTAAATTTATTTTATTATTTACTTATTTATTTAATTTAATATTTTAGTATTTATATTCTTTCAAATTCGTTCATAATGTTGCCACAGCGAGCACGAGGATCTAGGTTCTCCTGATACGTAGCCCCACAGTTCGAAATAGTCTAACCTAAAAAATTCA